GTGTGTGTGTGTGTGTGTGTGTGTGTGTGTGTGTGTGTGTGTGTGTGTGTGCCGGTAGTCTCATCAAATCAAACCATCATGTCATCATCTTCATCTCGCTCTCAGTCGTCTCTACTGGCAGATAGAGAGTCATCACCATCCTCGCCTGCACGCTTCTTCTTCTCTTGCTGAACACAGAACAAAGACCGAACAGCGTTTGGACCTGAGCCCACTGCATTAGAAGGACGTCGAGCTTATTAAATGTGTTGACTGCATTTTTATCTGCTGATAAAACCTCGCGTGGTGAACTGCGACTGTGGAGAACTGGGAAGCTCCACTGGTCCAGAGTAACCCAGCAACCCGAGGAGAGCGTTACAGGACACGAGAGCAGCCGGCAACCACAGTCCAGCAGCTCAGCCCTGAACCATTAGCTTATTCGCTGGAATGTCGTTCCTCTTCCTCCGCCCTACAATCTGCTTCAGACACCACCACCTCCACCACCGCCAACACACAAACACTACTCAGAATTCCTGCCCATCCTCTGCCGCCGTCAGCCTGCGGTTGGTGTCGCTGATTTTTCTGACTCAACTTACAAATAACGTTTTGGTCGCATCAGGGCGTCGCCAAAGAACGCAAAACAGGAAGCATGAGAACAACGAATCGCTCGAGATGACTGGTGTATACGCTTGTGTGTGTGTGTGTGTGTGTGTGCAGAATCGCTGAAATACTGAATCATCACCTGGTAATGTTACAGCCCCCCCCGTTTAAATACCCCGGTGCTAAAATCACACAGAAAGAATCCGAATAAAAATGTGGCAAAATCCCTGAAAAGTGAGAAAACGTTACGTAACAGACGGATGAGATGATGACTAAAAGACTTTGTGCTGCTAAGATGTGCTGTTTCTCAGGACGAATCACAAGTTTGTACAATCAGGGGACGAAGAGGGGGGGAGGGGGGAGCCCCGTTTCACTAGCTGCACCCCCGCTGCCACCGTGCGTGCTGTCAGCCTCAGAATAATAAGAAGAATACGATACGCAGAAATAGAGACGCATTGAGAGAATTTGGTCGTGTTCGTGACATCGATTCTTCTGCGATCATCGGCGCTCCGCAATTAACGGGTAAAATCTCTCCTGCAGGTCGTCGTGATCGGCCCGTGGTTATGGTTGAAAACGTTATAACCAAAGCTCAAGCTCAACGCTAACCTCAGGCGGGTCTCCGACCACCTGCTGGATGTTAACCAATCCAGTGCTTTTGTTTCCAAAACCCCGCCCCACCCCCCACCGCCGCAAACGACCACACGAGAAACTACAAAACAACTAATGAAACTGGGCTCAACGTGAAGAGGTCAGAGGTCAGGGAGGGAGAAAGGAGGGGGTGGGGGGAGTTGGCAAAGCTACCCATTTGTACCCGGGAGGCACAAATTTCCTCGGGGACCTTATTTCTCTGTGACACCATCATCATAGCGTGGCGAACGACACAACACAGCATGACACCACCAAACAACACCGACCATTCAGTCACATCTACATGTCTCCGTGTGTGTGTGTGTGTGTGTGTGTGTGTGTGTGTGTGTGTGTGTGTGTGTGTGTGTGTGTGTGTGTGTGTGTGTGCGATGAGCTCACGGACGCCGTCCTCATGCGTCTGCTGTAGATCGTTGCTGTTTGGAGTCTTTAGGCGATCAGATTGAAATAATTCTCCTTCTTTGGGTTCGTCCACGGTGATTTTTGGCATTTCCTCGTTACGCTGGTTTGTGTTATGCAGTGAGAACTTTTGTTTGTGCAGCATTTTACTCTGAAAGGCCTGAAAACTCACACCATCACATTCAGAAACCTTCAGACTAAAATGTCTGACCGCTTTATGTTCGGTGAATCTGGACGATTTATCGTGTTAAACTTGGAGCAGACCAGCAATGATCGACCGCAGAGCTGAGGATGAGGAGGGCGTCGGTGATCTCATGGGTTTCTTATCCTCTAATTTCTGCCTACTCATGTCTGTAAATTTGTTTGAATGAATCTTTTTCACCCGTGTGTGCGTGTGTGTCTGACAGGTAAGTGTGTGTGTGTCGTTCCTCGTGGCGGCGTGCTTATGTGTAGGCATTGAGGCGTTCTTTGGAGCGTGTAGAGTGGATGTCGTGCAGCTCCTGCTCCTCCTTCGACTTGATGTCCTCGTACTTCTGCATCCGACTGGCGTCCTTCAGGTAGCCCCAGTTAGCGGCTAGAGCCATCAGGAAGTGCACCTGAGGGGAAACGCAGGAGACTGATCAAACATCACCGACTCGTCCGCTGCACACTGACGCTGCAGACAGACTGAGCGGCTTATCTGGGATCAGCTGGTTTGGACTGTTCCTACACCATCACATCAGTGCTGCAGGAGAAGGAGGGGGAGGCCAGATGAGGGGGTCACATCTCGCCTTTAAAGGCAGAAGGAGGACAGGATGTGTTTACCTTGTTTCTGCCACTCAGGGCTAAAAACAGCAGCTGTATGTTTTTAACAGGTTTACTTGAATTTAATAGAGGAAGTGCACATGTAGTCACCTTCCTGGAGCAAACACAGGTACAGCCCTGAACACGGGTCGAGTCTAATGCCGTTAATCCCACACTGTGCACACAAGCCGCTCCCTCTGGCGGCCCCTAGTGTTAAAGCACGGCGCAGCAACTCACTGCTGTTGCTGCGCCGTGTGTGTGAAATACTCTTGATTTTAGCATTTCAGCATTCACATGCAGCACCACGCGGTTTCAGCCCCTTCAGTAAGTTGACAAATGAAACGTCCCTCACGCTGCTTCCTGCCGCACAACAGATTTGTGTGTGTGGACGAGTACCGGTGCTTTGGTTCTTGTACAGATCTGCGCACGGGAAAGATCGGAGATTATTCAGAAAGGCTCAGGTTTGTGAATGTGTGCTTGGAGCGAGGATGGAAGGACGTGAGCGTCTCCACGCCTCGGATCTGGAGACGCCGGTGACTCACCGCCTGTCTCACTGCAGACATGCAGGACTGGATTTTACACTCTGACTCTTTTCTCTCCCTGTCTGCAGGGACGATGTCTGCTTCCTTCGTTTGCACCAATCATTAAAAACCATAATGGCAGAACAAATTATAACCAATCAGATATGAGAATGATGGTTCTTACCATGGCGATGACAGCAGCTCCTGCTCCTGCTAGTGCGCACACGAACAGGTGGAAGGTCAAGTCCAGCTGCAACACAACATACGCATGATGCGGTGGATTTGTGCTGACGGGTTATCACGTGTACGTGTTTTTGCTGCGTTCTCACCTCGTTGGATTCGCACATCTTGACGAACTTCTCGGACTGCGTGCACAACTTCCTCTCCTCGGCGATGGTCACCGCTCCTGAGAAGCACAAACGCTCTGTTAGCCTCTCCTCGTCCTCTGTGGTTGATGAACGAACCGGGGAATCTCTGCCTATCGCAGCGCTTGGACGGTCCCTGCGTTTCTTTAATTAAAGCTGACCAAGATGAACGCTTCCCCGCTCCTGGACTGTTGGCCACTGGGAACGGCCTTGAAGTAATCACAGTCCAGAGCGCAGCGCCTCATGAACCGGGAGTTCATCTTTAATGTTTTTCCTCCTGAGAAATCTTCATTAGTTTGCTGACTGAGGCCTGCTGCAGTCTAAATGTTGAACAGCAGATGGCAGCGCAGTGAGCGAGCGCACACAAGGCCTCTGGTGGTGCCTTTTGTTTTAATGTAGGCATCCTGAGAACAACATGGTGGGCAGTGCTGCATCGTGCACACAGTAATGTGCAGCATCCACCAGCTGAAGTCTGTCTGTGTGAATATTTAAGGAGGTTTTGAGCTAAGTCGTGCTAACATGCTGTTTGGAAAGACAGGTGATGATAATCAGGCAGAAAAATAATCTGCATAAAGAACCCAGACAGCTGGCACCTCTGGGCCTAACCGGGCCAACTTCTGGCACCTTAAATGCCGAATGACATCTGACATTGTACTGATTTAAGGTGGAGCCGTGGCTCCTGAGTGAATGCAGGCAGAGACACCCAGAGACAAACATGTCCCGTTACTGCTTCCTGACATTTCTGTGATCTGTTCTCAGGATGTCTGAAGAGAGCCAGACCGCCGTCGCTGCTGTTATTCAGTCACACCCACATTTCACACGGGTTCAGCTGTCTAACCCCTCAAACACATGTTCAGGACTTCATCAAACACCAGAAACACCGACCGACAGGCCGAGCTCGGACGTTTTCTGTCATTAATGAATTTGCAGATATTTCAGATCAATGTTTTTCCTCTCGAGCGTCCGATTCTCGGATGTCGTTGCAGCGCCTGGAAGGCTTTGCAGCTTTCTGCTGGTATTTGGCACTTCTTCTGCACACACACAGGTTTTTCCATGATATGTGCCAGTTTGGTGTTTTGGTGAGTCACCATTAACCTGCCTGCTCTAAGCAGCGATTGGGTGATCCAGGATCTTACTTTTAATCACAGAACAAAGAACAGGCTGAGCTAAAAATCTGAACAGCAGCGTATGAAGAAGATTTCCAGTCTGCAAAATCCAACAAAGTGAAGGAAAAGATGTTCCACACATAAATTAGAGGTGCACGGATCAATGGGAGGGGCCGGTCTGAGCTCGGAGCAGCAGCACGGAGAAATTACAGTCATTTGTTTAAAGGCAGCTGAGCTCATCAAGCTGAACTCGTTAGTCTTCCCGTTTACAGCATCTCACATAAACTGCATCAAACTGGGAAAACCAGTCCTCCTTGTTTAACTCAAACTCAAAATGCATTGTGCAAAGCCTGCAGAGGTCTAACCACAAAGAAACGAAATTCTTTTGTAAGTTAGAAATGTAGCTGTTCATGATTGGAAGTTCATTTAACATCAGGGTGCAAAATGCAAAGGGTCCAAAGTCTGCGTACCAAACTGACGCAGGTCCAGGCAGAGGTTGGTTCCCTCCACCGAGCTGGTGTTCTGACACATGGACCAAACGTTGAAGTACATGAAGACCGGCAGGCTGGTGAATGCTGTCACCCCGAGCCACACCAGGAAGAACAGGTAGGCCAGGAACATCAGCTGTAAACACAGGCACACGTTAGTCTCGCACTGCTGTGCATCGCGTTCAGCAGAGCTCACAAAAGTCTTTATTCAGGTTAGACTAAAAAAGTGCAAAATGCACATTCGTCTTCATCAGCCGCAGAGCTGAGTGGCTGCACTGACGCATGCACGCCACTCTAATATCTGTCACAGTTTCCAGATGTAGCTGACTAGACGAATACAAACCTCAGAAACCAACAGTACTTTTGTGATGAACATGATGAACATGACTGTGCTGTTTACTGCAAACATTTATTTGCAGGAAACGTTAAAGTGCCACAACGACATCACTTAAGTTATAAGTTATAAAGTTTGTGCAAATAAGTGTTTGATCCAGATAAAAGCAACTGTAGATGTTTAAAAAGGGCCGTAATCACTGTGTGTGTGTGTGTCTGTGTGTATGTGTGCGTGTGAGCGCGTATGTGTGTATGTGTGCGTGCGTGCAGGCGTGTGTGTCTGTGTGTATGTGTGTGTGCGTGTGTGTGTAAAACAACTTTAATGTCAATAATGGTCAATATGAATCATACTACTCTGCACATCCAAGTAAATATCAGTGATGCTGACCTTTTGCGGTCATTTATGGTCATGTGACATCAAGCTAATTATTGGCCCTCATTAGCAAAGTGGAGTTTGTATAAAATAGGAAAGGGTCACCACGTCTATCCTTTCAGCAGCTTCTTTGTTTAAATTAACACTAACTTAAACACAAATATGTCTTGACGAGTTTTAGAAGTTTTGACTCACGAATGCAGTAAGGCAGCGTCCGCAGGCAGTGATCTTGAACTCTCCGTAGAGATCGCGGATGGCTCCGGTGGTGAAAAAGCCCTCCACCAGCAGCAGCACTCCAAACACAAAGAATCCAGCTGCAAGGCCATAAATTATGTACTTCAGGATGTCGATGCTGCGGAGAGGACACACATCACAGCGTCGCTAATTAATGACTGCTTATTTATTTTCATGCTTCGAGTGCTCTTCAGACTTCTTCAGCTAAATCACCACGAGGAACTGCCAGAAACCAGAGAATCATGGAGGATTTATTCACATTAAAAATGTAAGTGGTGTAAATGTAGCCATTCCTAATTTTATCTTTATTTTCTCGTGTGTCTGTTTACATTTAAAAACAAAACAAAACATTGAAGAGCCAAAAACTGCAGTTCCAGTAGTGTCCACTAGAAGCTCCAGCAGTGAGTCGGTCTCTACACTGTTAAAAGGTTACAGCAGAAATAATCATGTTTACAGACGGCATGACTGCATGCACGGTTAAGGGCGTGGTCTCTTTGATTGACAGGTGAATGGCAACGATGATGTGAATGAAACACTTTTAATAATAATGAAGCAACAGGCTAGCCCAGAGGCTACGAGCTAGCTCAAAGGCTGCAGGTTGGAGACCACGTAATAAAGGAAGAGGTGCGGGGTAAGAAACTAGAACAAACAACTGTGTGGGCCAACAAGGGATTTATAGCTGTATAGCAGGAAGGGGCGTGGCATGAACTTGAGATAAACTGTGCCCAATAATACAGTTTCTTGTGCTGTAAATAGCCTACGCTCCATTTCTGGTGAGTGAAGTTTTAGAATTTTATTTTGGATATTACTAGCGATGGGATGTCTGTGAAGGTTCTCAGTCCTCCAGGTCCTCGTAGTCAAAGGAGCTTGCAAAGGAAAGCATCTGGACTTCTTTAAGTTGCTTGAAGACGTTTCACCTCTCATCCGAGAAGCTTCTTCAGTTCTAAGGTCAAATGGTGGAGAGTCCCAGATATAAACCTAGTGGGAGTTTCCCCCCACAGAGGGACAAAAGGACCCCTGATGATCCTCTAATCGCCTGAGCCAAGGTGTGAAACTGGGTGTGGGTCCCAATCAGCCAGAGTTTCGGGTGAGTTCATTGTGAAACCTGGCCCCACCTTATCATGCGAATTCCTGAGGTCAGATGGCCCAGGATGTGAGTGGGCGTTCAGGCGTCTGGGGAGGGAACTCAAAACTGGATTATAGATGGCAGACAGTTGGTGTCGTAAGCCCCGCCTCTGTTCAAAGATGGTCGCTCACAGTGGACATAGATGCTTCTTTCACTCCTCTTTCAAACCATCTGTCCTCTCTGTCCAAAATGTGAACATTGGCATCCTCGAAAGAGCAAGCTCCTTTGACTAGCGATGGGATGCACCAATTAGGACCCATTATCAATTAGAAAAAAAGAGAAAACACTGAAACCAATGGCTGCGTTCATCTTTTATATACAGGCTATGCACTTCAGTTGACTTCAGCTCGTTCTGTTTGGGGTTTGTGATTATTAAGAGTGATTATTAATACTCCGTACAGAGAAAAGATGAAACACTTACATGGTGAACACATCCAGAGTGTCTCCCGGGGCTCTGATGACTTCAAAGTAGTTCTGGAGGATGGTGACGGTGCCGCTCAAAGCCTCGTGGCCACACCCACAGAACAAGGCCACGCCCATGTAGAGGAGGATGGTGGCGATGAGCGACGCCCAGGGCAGGCTGCCCACACATCGCTCGCAGCACTCCTTACAGCCTGAGACAGAGACAGAAACCGTGAGTCTGACTGCAGTTCGACAAATTCTATATGACGATGATGAAAGCAAAGGAGAAGACACGGGGCGGGGTTATGAGGAGCGATGGTAAATTCAAGTTTTTTTACTGAGTTTGAATGAGTCACTCACCAAAATGGGTTTTTGTTTAAGTCACTGAGTCAGTTGACCAGAGAGTGCAAAACATGTACATTTTCACTCAAACTTAATTTGTTTCTATTTTCATGTAAATCCTACTGCTAAGATGAGTGATTGAAAAAGAAAAACAACTATTTTTATAGCGCAAAAAAGAGCAAAAAAAAAAAATTAAGATTCTTAAAGGGAACATTTATTTTATTAGTATTTTCCTCAAATGTGTCAAATATATATTTTCTCATCTAAATGTCCACTGAGCTGTGAGACAGGGGGCGGTAATGCGCCTTAACACTGGTCGCCAACCAAGAAGAAGAAGAAGAAGCTGTGAGCCAGGAGGGAGGGGGTGAGTGAATGAGTGGTCACGTCCAAATTCATGGTCTGCATCCTCATGAGGACGTGTTTGTAGGCCGATTACGTCACAGCGACGTGACGAAGGCTGTCCAAATTCGTAGACTCCTCCGAATGCGGCCAACAAATTCCCCAGATTTGAAGGATGGGTCGGGTGTGTCCTTCGTGGCTGATTAAACAGAAGTGTGAGACAATCAAGAATTTACGCCAATGTTCTTTTATATTTTAGATAGCAAGGAGCAGACGGCTGAGTGTATTAAACTCCACCGAGACAGCGGTGACGCAAATCTGAAGGCTAGACCGTCCAATTCCACAGCCGTTTACTTCCGGCCTACCCGACCTTCTGAGGACCCGGCCCACCTAGACCGCGAAGGACGGGTCCTCAGGAGGATGCAGCCCATGAATTTGGACATGACTAGTGAGTGAGTGAGTGATTCGTTCATGCTACGATTCAGCACAGGAAGGGGGGTGAGTAACTCAAATGTGCTGTTAGCATGTTAGGAGAGCGATGCTACTGTGAATTGAGGAGCTATCCGGTCTTTGGGCCTTTCTCAATGTGCGTACTTGCGTTGTCGTGTACTCGTGATACGTCATCAGTCGGAGACCAAGTACTGCTCCAATTCGAAGTACGCATCAAGCCGAGAACGCAAAAAAGTCCCGGATGTGTTCTCGCTCCGCCCGTTTTATTGAGCATGCATTGGTGGTGACTTGTGTGGACTTGGTACAGCTAAATATCCCAGAATGCATTTCGTCCAAAACTCAAACGCAGCAATGGCGGACGAGCGGGGCTAAAAACTTTTAAATATTACTCTTTCTGGGTCACAAAATAAACTTTTAAGTTATTTTCAAGCGAGAATGTAGCTGTGTAAACTTCAAATATCTGCTCGATTTATCAAGATGTCATATATTTCCAAACGCGCTCCGACATTTTCGGAGACGTCTGTGACCCACCAGCTCCATAGCAGACAGCGAGGTCGAGGATCATTAGAGCCGGCGAGAACAGCGGACTCCCGGCACATCGTTTCCAACCCCCCCGTGGTCTTTTCGCTACTCAGGTTAAACAAACCCCAAACCCCAGCAGCTGTCTATTGTATTGAGTGTCCACTAAAATAAAAATAAAAGCGTTCTAACATCTCATCTGCTTGTTTTTATTAAGGTATGTACACGTATGTACATGTACACTATTTTTATTAATAGGTTAAACATGATATATAAGTCGCTTAGATCACTTCTAAATGTTAATGTTTGGTTTATTTCAGTGTTTTATTTGTTCCTGAGTAAACCGGTTTAGCTGTGATTAAAGTTAAGCTTCATAACATATTACTCACAGTTAAATTAAGAGGGGACGGCAGTAAAAACTCCGGACCTGTGACATCATCAAGTACGCTGGTGTTCCAATTGTACAAATCGCGAGTCCGTACTCGCGTGCGTTCTCGGTGAGTACGGACTCGCGTACTTGAGAATTGAGAAAGGGCCTTTAAGTCTGACGTCATTAGCCGCGTCCGGGTTCTAAACTCCGCTGCAGGTCATAAAGTCAAACGATCACTACAGCATTACTGAGAGTTGAAAAACTGTCTAAATTCTTTCATCTGTAATAAAATGATCAGCGTTGCTGCTTTACCAGGTGTAACGATTAAGTTTAACATCCAGGCATCCATGAAAACAGGATTTATTAAATTTTATGGAGTTAGAAGTTAGCAGGAAGTTAGCAAGTTAGATCACTAGTTTCGCTAGTTAGCTAAACATGATATAGCATGTTCTGACTGAGAGATTTATGAAAAAATTCAAACGTACAGCTCTGCTATCACTTCCAACATAAATGAACAGAAAACTAAACAGCAGTGATGTTTGTAGGGTTACTGAAGTTGGGCTAGCTGGTATATAATGATGTGCTACGTGATCGCTAGCGACACAGCTATGTTAGCATAACATTAGCACAGTGAAGCTGGAGGATGAACGCTAACTTCTTTCCACTTGATAAAGTTAACGTGAGGGTTCCTGATGGTTAGAGACAAATGCAATCGCATGGCAGGATGTAGTTGCATCGGAATCTTTAAAAACTGAGCTTTAAAATGATTAGCAGTAATAAAAACCGAGAGAGGCCGACAGTGATCACTGACTGTTTTTATGGGCTTGTTGAGATGAAATAGAACAAGTTACAAAGCATTAAAACATGTTTAAAGCACAATAGCCCTATGAAACGCAAGGTAGTTTGGGCCCTGAAGCAGGATTCAGCATGTCATCACTTAAAGACCGGATTGTCTTGATGTGAGCTTCTACTCAGGGTTTTTTCTTCCAGTTCAGAACAGAAATGTTTCTGTTAAGAAACTGGCTGTTGTTCCCCCCCACACACACAATTTTAATTATAAGGTAGATATATTTCTACTAATGAAATTAGTTTGCTAACAGCAACAGGAATGAGTCAGTTGGGCTTGTGAATCATGATTCACGAGTCAGTAAAGTGATTCTCGAGTACTGAACGATTCGTTCATGATTCACACATCACTAGTTATGAGCACACACACGGCGGTAAAACGAGCATGTGCACCGCCGGGTTGGTCATTGCATGGAGCAGCACGTGCAAAGTCACAACATAAAGTTTTACATTTGAGTGCAGAAACCAAAACTCCCAGTTTGCTCCGTGAATGTTGGCCTACAGGAAATAATGCGGATGCAATAACTTTCATTTGACGTTCCTAAAAAATGACTCCTTTAAATACCGAAGAGCAAAAATGAAAATTTTAAAAGCTCGTGAAGAAGAGAAAACCGAGCAGAGATCAATGTAGCGACGGCCGCGGCTCTTCCTCCTCCGAGAGCAGGAGATGAAACGTGATGCCTAAATGCCTCCTGAAGGGTTTTATTAGCTGTGAGTGTTTTAATGACCAGTTTGATGTAGCTTTAAATGATCCGGTTGATTAGCAGCTCTTACCTCCTCATGGACAATAAGCCTCATCGACAGACAAACAATGTGTCACGCAGTCAGTTAAACTGACACAATGCAAGAGCAGCTGCACATATAAACTGACATTCACTTGGCTTCTTCCCCACAATCAGCTGAATTCAATGCAATACATTTTAAATATTGGCTCAAAATAACCTTCCTACAACACAGGAGCAGACAGAGAGCTCCATTCATAAAGGAAATGCTCCCTTATTAAAAAACTGGATTAAATCTGAGCTAATTATACTTTTTCCTGTGAAAACGTCCTGAAGTACATTTATTTCAGTACTAACGGCACCACAAACATTCTCACTCCTGGTGTGAGGATTTTATACACACATGACTTTCTTGGTCTCCTATTGGACCTTTGGTTGGTTTCTTTGGGGAATCGTAGGTTATTCTTCAGTGAACTTTGCAATGAAAGCATGCAAAGTGAAGGTTGTAACCTCTTTGTGAATCATTTGGTCTTAGCAGCACAAATGCCAAACTTATATATTGTATTTGAGGAAAACAAGACTGGAGCACCTTAACCCGCTCCTCCTCGTCCTCGTCCATGCTAACGCTCCTGCTGAGTCTTTTGCAGTGAGAGGTTACTTCTGATCACTCTGCCTGTTGTCCAGAGCCATTCTCCTGTGCTTGGAATGATTAAGTAGAGCTCTCCACCTGCCACATTATGTAATTGTGCAGTAGCTGCGAATGATGCACCAACAATTCGGCTATTTTCAAATGACTCATTTGTGTGGCTGCCAGATAAACAGTGATCTTTCCTCTCTGAGAAGCTTTTCAGTGCAGAAATAATGGCAGTAACGCAACGACGGGAGGCAGCAGAACAACATCTTTCCCTGCTGGACTTCTTCCACCGTTTAACGCAAACATCTACATTTCCTCCCTGGTGTAGTTTAGCTCATCTGTCTTGCACACATGTAGAAGCAGGAGAGGAGTATTCGAGTACACGATGACTCACTGGGTTGTTGTCAGTGGTGACACTACAGCTGATGGGTGAAATCACTGTAGACGTGTTTTATGCTGCAGATCGCTTAAAGCTCGTCAGCACAGGAGGTGCAGCATAAGCAGCTCATTAGCAGGAGGTGTTCGGGCTCAGTAATCAGGATCCAGTGTTCAGTTCTGTCTTTCAGGAGCGACCCACGATCACATGATCACAGCAGGGGGACAGATTAAAAGCCAGTGATGGCTGCTTTATGTGCACAGAGAAGAGAAGACACTTCAGGAACTTCAAAATAAAATAATAATGCAAATAAATACATAAATAAAATATAATTTCAGATTAAAACCAGTTTGTTTGAGATCAGATTTCAGATTGTAATGTAGACACACATTTAAAGGTTCTACAAAATGTTTCCAGGGTGGAACCAATGTTCAATCTGTTGTTTAGGATTGACGATATTTTCAGTGACATGCCACAGTCAGTAGAGGGCAGCATTTCCCTTTCTCAGTGGGTGGCAGTTTTCCCAGTGTGTGGGTGAAGAGGGGGTACTGCAAGGTGTGTTTTTATTAACCCCTTCAAGTTAATGCGATCAATGAGATACGCAATTTGTGCTT